ATTTGCATACACCATCACATACTGCATCAGTACTCAAAGTAGAGTAACACTGAATATTTTTTTCGCAAGGTTCTTCCCAACCTGCATCTAAAAAAAGGGAGCAGTTGGATCAAATAATATTACAGCTAAAGGCAAGTATACATATACATTTAGAATAAATACTTACTTTGAAGACAAGCGAAAAAAGTTCTGTTTCTACTTAAAAGTTCATATCCATCGATGCATTTACACCTTCCCACTCTGTTGTTATCATTGTCAAAGCAAAAAGAATTTTCATTTATATTTTGACAATGTAAATCCAGGAGACATCTGTGGTAAGTAACTAAAATTGAAATTACGTATTTTAAAAACATTGAATTAGAATCAAACATAAAGTTGATATATTTTAAAGATGTTAAAATCAACTTATTGTTCTGATAAACTAACCCTAGAGCAGCATGTAAACTTAATCTAACTCAACTTGGATGCACTTTGTTTTGAAATTTATTCAATAAAATGTCTCAAACTGATCTAATTTAGACAGCGTCTTCATTCCATTAGTGCAATATTAAAAAATAGAGCTGATTGGTTTTGTTTTTCCATTTACATTATAAATTGTTATACCCAATGTTGGTCGTATCAAAAAATTAGCCACTTATTATTTCTATTCTTATGGTTATATTATTATAATTTATGAAAATAATTAAGGCAGGTTTACAAGTCGTCTCAGATAAATTACGAACACGATTGATTGTAGACTTTTGTCGCAAAATCATAAGAAAGCAAATTTCTTGAATGGTTAAAGAAATAATATACAAAGTGGGATCCCATTACTGCTGACCATTCCCGAACATTTTTATCTGCATACGCCTAGGAATCTCCAATTAACATTATTTAAATACACAATTAATGGCTCGTATGGATTTTAAGCAAAAACAAACAAGTCTGTGACATTTAAATGTACTTTCTGAGGATATCCGGGAATGTCATCTTTATATTTAGAGAGGTGATTATACTGATAATTTTCAAAATTATTTCACATCACTATATTTCCATATACCGGGTGTCCAAAAAGTCTGGAAACACCTGAATAGTTTCCCAGGTAAATACATTTTGAAAAATGTTAAGGTCATTCTTGTAGTGACTTTTGACGAGGAATTCAATAATGACCTTGACGATGACCTTGAAGGTTATTTCAAGGTCACCTCCATTTTTTAATGGAAACCCCCTTTTTCGACGTCGGCAATCGAAAGAGCGGGAAATTTTACGTCCAAAGACTCTAAGGTCATAAATCAGGGTTGACCTTGAAGGTCATACAAAGGTTCTTTAAATTTGAGGGCTGGATATCTCCGAAGAATGAAGTTGATGAAAATAGTAGGTACAAAGCTCACTTTAGTTATTTTGTTTAATTGCAATTAGTGGTGACCTTAAATTCGATCTTCTTAGTGTCCTTCAAGATCATTTCAAGGTTACTTTTTTTCACGATAATCAAGCATGAGAGGCAAGGTGACTCACGATAATGAAGCACCCCAAACGTGAGAGGCAAGGGGATTCACGATAATAAAGCACCCCAAAGGGAACAGAAATTACTACGTCCACGTCGTTGTTCCTGGGTAACGCTAAAAATAAAAGTACGAAAACTTCCGCTTTTTTATTGCCGCCGTCACATGAGATTTTCAGTAAAAAAAAATGACCTTGAAGGACACCAAGAAGGTCGAGTTTGAGATCACCACTAATTGCAATTAAACAAAATAATTAAAGTGAGCTTTTTACTATTTTCATAAACTGCGTCCTTCGGAAATATCCAGCCCTCAAATATAAATAACCGTTGAATGAGCTTCAAGATCAACCCTGATTTATGACCTTAGAGTTTTGGGACGTAAAATGTCCCGCTCTTTCGATTGCCGATGTCGAAAAAAGGGGTTTCCATTTAAAAAATGAAGGTAACCTTGAAGTAACCTTCAAGGTAATCGTCAAGGTCAAATCCAAGGTCACCATTGAATTCTTCGTCAAAAGTTACTACAAGAATGACCTTAACATTTTTCAAAAATAATTTACCTGGAAAATTATTCAGGTGTTTCCAGACTTTTTGGACATACATGTATAGTCTCATCAACATTATCTTCATTGTATGTTACTAATTACAATGTCCACATTGAGCTTCCATGTATAAGATTATACAGAAAAAAGTATCTAGCTGAATTCGTAAAAAAAATTGGTTTGGATTAACAAATTGTTGTAGGTGGAATTGTAAAAAATGTATTGCTAAGGAAGTTACAGCCTCTAAATGAGAAATACAAATGACACCAAAAATTTATAATTGATAAATGACTTAAATAAACAAAAGCTCAAGTTAACTGTTAAATTTAATGATGAGTATTAATATTAATAACTAATGTAGATATTCAAAATTAAGCTATTTGATTAAATGTGTTGAAAGTGATGTCTTCTAACTAAGGGGATTCATTCGTCAACACAAATATTATAATCTAAAACACTATAACTCTCAAAAAAACACTTGTACAACACCATTCAAGGATGTTGATAAGATGTGCCATGGCTAACACAAAACAAAATACATTATTGTCGATTACGTCAAAAACACTAGAGATTATTTATTGGAGATTATTTTCCGTTAAACTTTCACAAAAAAAAAAATAATCCATTGATTCACATTTGAAACAGAAAGTACTTGGACATGTATTTCGTTTATGAATCCTGTAATGGTAAAGCAAGGGGTGCTATCGAAGAATATAATATAGGTTGATGAAATTCATTTTATCCGCGAGAAAACGGAAAAGAGTCCGCAGTAAGAGTGACAAAGAGAGGAGACCTTAATGATAGGGCAGGTACCTCAGACGGAGAATGAGCTCCAGTGCTAGCCTGCTAACGTAGCAAGTGCGCATATAAAACCAAAAAGTAACACAAAACGTAATATTCAAAATAAGTGCAGTCAAATTGTCTTTCGCCGGGCTGAAGCTTGCATTCAATGCAAATTTTAATTCTAGTTAAATATTTTTTTAATTGGAATAAATACCCTAATTACAATATAGGTATAGCCGTTTTATTTCCGGACACCCCAAAACTTTTTTACAAAATTCTTTTCAGGATTTTCTTAATAACTTCAGCCCAACTGAAAATCAATATGTTTAAAAAACTTCAATCTCTGTACTGGCAACAGTGGAAACGAAATAAATTTTGTTGTATACCTTTTGTTGTATACTAAATTGAGGAAATTTATTAGTTTTAAGATTTCCTTTAATTTCACATATTATTTGTTATTTGCACAAATTGTACGTAATTAATTAAATTTAAATAATTTCAATTAATTTTAATCAATTAAATTTTATTTATTCAAGTTTAATTAATTTTTAGTACAACAAAATTATATCTTTGGAGATGTGATCTTTTAAGTAAAGATATCTGAATGTCAATATTTGTTGTAGTTCTCATTTGATAATCTGTAAAACATTGGTTTTACTAATCTTGTTATTTTTACAATGTAAATTAATGAACTATAATAATATAAACCTCATAATATAATTTTGCGGGATATATAAGGTTTTTATGAAATTATATTTTTAGAATAGTATTTTGTCATATTATTCACTCCATGTGACAATCTTCTGTAGTAAGTATTATTGACACAACCAATGGGTGACATCGAATGTTTGTTTTCCAACTTGTAATATGTTTAATTTGAAAAAGAGTATACGAAGTTTTTTAATAAATTGTGCTATGTGTTCGCTTCATTTTAAATTTTGATCTAATTGTATTTCAGATGCGCAACGGCTCAGATATTTAAAAATGTAATAGAATCATTCATATTCAACTGTACTTACCAGTCCTAAGTAAAACTTTGGCACAGAAGGTACCTGCCGTACAATTAAGAGGGCTCTACTTATAGCAAATAAGCACCCAGAAATACATTTCTATAGATTTTATTACAGTTTTTCTAAATATGAATTAATGCACAAATAAAAGACTAAAATTAATAAAATGAAGTTAGTTTAAAAATCAAATTACTTTTTGTTGTGAAGAAATTTGTAATTTTCCAGTTTTGAAGAAGCGGCATAGTAAATTACAAATTTCTTTACATCAAAAAACAACTTGAGTTTCAAACTAAGTCCATTTTATAGAAAATATGCGTTAAAAAGAAGTATGTTTAGACAAACTATGTAATAAAATATATAAAAATATGAACAAGCGTGTACTGTATTATCTATATTTTTATATCTATTATTTGCTTTAATATTGTTGATATACCCAAAATTTTAAACGAGAAAGCAATAAGAATTAAATGATTTATTACATTACTTAACCACTGTTAAATAATTTTTAACTTATTTTCAGCATCTTTGTATGTAATTTTCCAGTTGCCCCTATGAAATAGATAGTAGAATTATTTACATAAGAAATCTCGTTGTTAAGTAAATTTGCAATTTCATTAATGCTTATTAAAAAAAAATTTTTTGTTTAAATTTAATCTAATTTTAATAAATAAATAATAATAAAAAATTAAATAAAATAAAAATTAATCCTTTAAATGGAAAAGAGGGGAAAGGAAAATTATTATTATTATTTTTTGTTTAAATTACTATGAAATTGACCAAAGTGGGATTAATTCAAGAGCGATTTTCTCAGAAACCGTTAAAGATAACGATTTGAAACAAGAGTACCTTTTTAACGTAAAACAGTTCGGGAAAACGGAATTTGCTGTCCAATTTGTTAAAAAGTCAAAGATGAAAAAGTTACACACGCAAAGTACCAAGGGCCCCCCGGTACCCACCCCAATGGACCTTGTGGAAATAAATGCATTAGTCCATCAAATTGCTCATCAAAATTTAGCTGTGTATACCAAATTTCATTCATTTATCACAACGCGATTGAGAGATATTGCAAAAAAATGATTTCCATTCCTCCCTCTTCAATGGGTCCCTGTGCCCTTAGGAAGCATTTCCGGACCCATGTTCATATGAACTTTTTTACTTAGTTTTGATCATAGAATAGGCCTGTTCAGGGTTGGCAGCTAATTATGGGACACCCTGTATATGTACTCGTATGTAACAGAAAAATCTATTCATGTTTTATTTAAATCACACTGAAACAAAATATTCTTTTAAAATATTGTTATAATGGCTTTATTCATATTACATGAACGAATGATCAACTACAGAAAAAAAATTGTACAATGGTAAATCTTATAAGGGGCAGAGACGATCCGTATTTTATAAAATGTTATTAAAAAATGCAGTCATAGGTGGCCCATGTCATTTGTTTAAAATAAAAGATGACACATATTAGTTTTCTAATAATTAAAGTTTTATCAGTTTGCGTCTTTCAATTTAACTATACTATTTACCATTGTACAATTTTTTTCTGTAGTTGATCATTTGTTTTTTTATAATTTATTGTTTGTTAGTTAGTATGTGGTGTGAAGAAAGTCATTATAACAATATTTTAAAAGAATATTTCGTCTCGGTGTGATTTAGATAAAATAATAGATTTTCTTGTTATATCATACATTGCATATTAAAGTCGACATATCTTGAAAACAAGTAAATATAGGGAAAAACTTTATATTACCAAACTTACTCAAAATTTAACGATATTTCAGATGGACATTTCCACGTTCCAGGGATCAAAAAATTTTTTAGTATCGCCACGCCATCTATACAGAAAGATTTGACCTAACAGTTCTAACTACGATTTGAAGCTATTCGAGGGACCTAACAACCCCAATTTTCGGAACTAAAATAAATGTTTTCATTTCGGAGATATTGGCAGCGGGAGTGTTAATTGGCACACCCTGTATAGATATAATTTCCATGCACTGGAAATCACATTAAATGAAAATATTAAATCAATAATATGTTTTAATGATTTCAGGAGGATTTTATGTACACCTTGTATGGTTCTATTAGCCTCATCTGAAGCAGAATTATTTTTTAATGAATGTGTTGATTATCATCTGCCGACCGAAGAAAAAAATTTTTGGTTGAAACTGCTCTAATTTTATAGGAAGGTATGTATCAGACAGTGCAATTTGTTTAGCTACATTTTATCAATGTTAATTTTATCAACATGTTTGTTTTTTATTTTTTTATAACTTCATTAATGACATTTTATAATTTTTGCAGCCGTTTTTTCATTATGTAATTATTATCTTATAGTGCTCATTTTTCGTTTTCTTAATAAACCTATTTATTTATCTGGATAACGAATACAGTAACCTATTACAGTAAGTAACAAAAATTAGTTTGTAAACTATGAATACCTAAACAAATCTTTTAGGGAGCAAGGAATGATGATGAAAATTGTGTTTAAATAATCTAAGTTATTTTTTATTAGTAAATCTTTAAGTCTTCCTAAATCTAAAGGATTATCTACTGTGAGACCTTAGAACAAATTTTCAAGGACTACCTGTTAGTTGATTACAATTACTTATTTCAAACTGGTGCAGTCACATGTACCCACCCATTTCCTATGATATTTAATGAGTAATATCGATTTCCTATTATTTACAGGTACTTACCTAATCTCTCTTCTCTTTGATCATTTGACTGCATGCACACCATACTAATGTTTATTATGCAAAGTAGTACTATAATATACACTAATTTTAACATTTTCACGACACGCTAAAATATAATAAAGAGAGCACAAATAAGTCACATCGTTGTCTTTGCTTAGTGTGTGAATTACTGATAAGCTATTAAAATAAATAATCCATCTTGATAAGACAATCATCGCATATGCTGTGGTTAAGGTGTATGTATGTTTAATTCATCGCCCATGATAAAAAAATTGCCAGTGTAAAAAAATAGTTAATTTTTACCTTTCGAAAAGGAATATTGTAAAATAGATGTTATTGTTGGTATTGTTACCTTTTATGCATGGGTCATCACAAAGCAGTTTATCTCGACAACAGCCGGGTCATTCGCCAGAAATTAAGAGGGTATATGAAACAAATAACAAAGTTACTGTTCTGTCAATAAAAAAATCAAATAAATAGATAACCCAGCGGGGGGGGGGGGGGGGTTACACTCCCCCTAACTTTAGGATTCAAGGTATATCCTTCCATAATTAGCAAATATGTATCATTGCTTCTTCGACAACTAGCTAGTGTCATCTGAAATAAATCGAGGCTCCCCTGGACGCCAACTAGTTAGCATTCCAACTACCGGGTGTGTGAGTCATACTATTATTATGCCACCTACCTCAACGCCACCATGTGTCAATCGAAGCACAGGTAAGACCCCATACAAACTTACAAGGCACACGTCGAAGGAACCACAGCCTCTAATTACGCCGGAAACACCGCGCGCATGGGTTTTCACATAAACATAAACGAGTATGGCATATTATTCACAAATTCGCAATTCATTAAACATGTATTCAAGCTAGCACACATATATAAAATTCAACCTTATTCGGGCGCTGGCCAGGCATCACTGTCACAGAGAACACCCTCTCTTAGTTTCGGCATCCCAGGCTACATTTCTGTGTATACTTATAAATTACATTATCTCAAAGGCAAATAAACACTTGGCTGGCGCATTCCGTGTGAACAGTTGAGCTTTGATTCTAAGCAACCACGATAGTTTTCATTATAAAATAAAATATATAATGCTTCCTATTATTACAATACTTTAAAAATAAACAAGTGTTACAATTGTAAGCGGTACAAGATTGGCGTCTGGAATTTCAACATAGCCGGCCAGCTTTAGACGACTTTGTTTGGGTTATAAGTAATGAATAGGCGCTGTTTCAGTATAAACATTTGTGATTTGGAAGCGGACAGAATACTCCTGAGACATTCATTTATATACTGTTAACACGCATTACTCTTATTGTGAATTACTAAAATTATATAAGTTTTTTTTGCTTTAATTGTTTAGTATTTAATTTTTTTACATCTCAGAAGTGGGATAAGAACAAATATAAAAGTTAAATAAACAATATCAAATAAATAAGTGACGATATCAGTGACTTAATTTTGTTGTGAATCATGAATAGACACAGTGAAGCATTATCAACCCCAACACCCAGTACCTCCAGAGCCATGGTGCATACCTCTGATGTAGAGCTGTCACAAAGGTCCCACACACCGCCATTGACAGTGGAACACATGCAAAAACAGATACACCATTTGCGTGAGGTGGTAAGTGCAGGCTCATTTTTTGCTGATAAAATCGTACAAAGACCAAATTGGACACTTTATAAAGATGACAGATTATTATCTGATTTTGATCCAAGCGATGATAACCAAAATGTTACTGACTGGCTAAATAAAGTAAATTAATGTGCTTGTATGTATCACTGGGACGAGTTAACTACCATTTACTTGGCGTTGGGTAAATTAAAGGGGATTGCTAAAGTATGGTACGATGGTTTAAAAACTGCGCAGTATTTGTGGGTTCAATGGGAACAGTTATTAAAAACTACGTTTCCTGGGAAGTTAAATTTTGGTCAATCATTTCACGAAGCAGCGTCATATAAAGCCTATCCTGGGCAAGATTTGCATATGTATTGTTTTATAAAGTTAACTAAATTAAACAAACTTCGGTTAAATCTGACAGACAAACAAATTATAGACGTAATCATAGATGGTATTCAAGAGAGTCAGATCGGTGGCAAATTAAATGTTATTATTGTAATGAAATTGGACATAAACAGACTATTTGTCCACAAAAGAAAAATGCTACAACTAAATGTTCTTTTTGCAGTAGACATGGTCATGTAGAAAATAATTGTCGAAACAAAAAAAAACGGTTTAAGGAAAAACATGATTCATATAAAAGCGTAAATTTTCTCGGCACGTGTAACGAAAATATATATTTCAAACGCGCTAAACTTAACTATAACATTGTCAAGCGTTTTGTAGATCTTGGATGTGAGCGTACGCTAAGAAGTCAGTTGTTCGTATATTCGAATTGACTCAAAAATAATGTAAGAAGCATGTAGAATTGCATGGCTTCAGTGGTGCGTCATTGATACCAAAATTTCAGTGTCAGGGATTTTGAACCGGGATATCAGTGTAAAGAAAAGAATGAAATTGTTTGATTTATTGCAGCATTTCAAATCTAGCTTTTGTTTTACTTTATAGGAATTTGGTCATACTCGCTCAGCCGAAATGAATATTGAATTAAATAGCCCAATTTTACTAGTTAACAAAAAAGATGGCGGCACTCGAATGTGCGTCGATTATAGAGNGTTAAGGTGTATGTATGTTTAATTCATCGCCCATGATAAAAAAATTGCCAGTGTAAAAAAATTGTTAATTTTTACCTTTCGAAAAGGAATATTGTAAAATAGATGTTATTGTTGGTATTGTTACCTTTTATACATGGGTCATCACAAAGCAGTTTATCTCGACAACAGCCAGACATTAAGGGGGTATATGAAACAAATAACAAAGTTACTGTTCTGTCAATAAAAAAATCAAATAAATAGGTAACTCATCGGGGGGTTACACTCCCCCTAACTTTAGTATTCAATGTATATCCTTCCATACGTTTCCATTATATTAATTAACAAATATGTATCATTCTTTCTTCAACAACTAGTGTCGCCTGAAATAAGTCGAGTCTCAACTACCGGGTGTGTGAATATTATTATGCCGATTGCCTCAACACCAGACTACACTAATTATTGCTGGGGACGTTTTTGATGCGCATGCGTATTGCGTTAATATCCGCAGAAAGGCGGGAAAGGACGTCGTCGCCTAAATATATACTTGAGATTTGGGTTTGACATTAGAACATTATTTGAAGGTGTTGTAATTAAAACCCGCGCTGGGCTAAGGGCCACCTTAGCAAAGCGCATCCCAGGCTGCATAGCCGCACTACCCTACCCAACCATACCACACATAAACATGACACTACCCCCGGGGTTTACACAGACGAGCCGGCGAAGCAAGAAGAGCGCCAGAAGAAAGGGCCCTAGCCGGCGGGGCCCAGCCAGGACAAAAGGAGGTCCCACAAAGCGCCTACACCGGCCGCATTTGCGGTCGGGGTAGACGACGGATGGGGCCCACCTACGAAGGCTGTCCAGGCCTACACGAGATGAGGCAGGATAAAGAGGGATAATCCCCCTCGATCCCAAATCATTGAGGCCAATTTCTAGCCATAG